AAACGATGCCATTTGGTACGGTTAAGAACTATGATTCAGCTACATGTAGCCAAAATCCAAAATTTTAATTTCATGATGGGAATGATATGGTGGTGTCAGCACAAAAGGAGGGTCAGCACAAAAAGGGAGAATCCGTTATTTTCATGGATATACATTTTCTGGACCAATGCAATGTTTATACATGTTGGATATTTGAATGACTCCATATTAATTTGGATCAAACCGCTTCACGTTGAGAAAACAAGGCAATGCCGTTTTCTACTCGTGCAGGTTCTTTGTCTCTTTCTAAATGAACAACCTTAAACATTTTAAACCGTGTGCTTGGCATATTTCCCCATTCCACACCAAGCACGAATTCCAGATAACCGCCAGGAACTAATGAATTTTAGATATCATAAGGAATCGTGAAATTTTGCACATTTCTGTAGAAATATTGTCCCTGCTTGGTCTTAACTTCCGAAATGGATGTTCAACATAGAGTAGCTATTATAGTGGCCCTAGTACTGCAGTATGAACATTAACTGGTGATAAATAGAAGATTGATTTGACACTTTTGTCCCGGTTACACGATTTCCCTAAGATTTGAAAGTACTGACTGATTATAAATAAGAATCGATTAAGATTTTAAAGATTTTAGAACGGATTAACTAAGAATCCCGGGATTAAGCAATTCTTGGCGGTTCGTGGAATTCCTAGTTGGTGTTAAATAGGGGCAACAAACTGCCTCTTACCTCAGTGCAGTCTATACACCACCCAGACTTATCCTCTTTACAACAAGCTGCCTTGGCTTCATTAACTATAGTGGCTATCACGAACACAGCAATGAATATGGTGACAACAGATGCTGCCATCTTCTGGAATTACAGAATTGATACTAAGTCATATTTAAGTTAAGAATTAAACACTAATTGTTATTACTACTTCACTTTTGGATAAACAAAAATAATCTCACCGCTTTCTAACGTCTCGGACCGGTCTACTGTACACACCTTTGCCGCTGGACTGAATAAGAGCGGTTCCGTAGGTCCCGTATAACTGAGCTTCCGCAGCTCTGCTTGTGTCTTTGATGTTGTTTCAACAAGTAAAAAAGGTGAGTACAATAAGTTGGTGGTAACGTAGATCTTCAAAAAGATCACTATGAAAGAGAACTGCTTTGTGAAATAGATCTGACAATGAGACATCAAATATTTTCGTATAATAAAGGTGTGTGGAAAAAAGGTAAATATGTGCATGTGACATCCTGTATGTCTTTTCGAAGTTGGCGTTTTATTTGGACAAGACACTATTCTTATGTTAAAGTTTTTGCAACGGCATTTTGACTCTTTGTAGCATCAATATGACACTGTATGAAAACAGCTCTGATTTCAGTAAAAACAAAACAAGAAATGTTAGAGACCCAATTTTATCTTTTTGTTTTGTGTATTTTTATATGTGAGCGTAAGACAGACTGACATAAAAAAATCCATAAGAAATAATTAAAATCTACGAAGGTCCATTAAATTTCAAGATATTGCTGGACTTAAACTACAATATGTGCATGCATGATCATTCCCTAAAACGTCAGTTATCTTTGTAGTCCTGCATTAAAGTTTTGTTTTTTTTTATATGTTCCAAATGTCCTCCGCGGCATTGAGGGACACTTGCATATGTCGCACAAAATTGTCGAACACTCGAACACATTACACTTTGGGGATTTCCGTGATTTTTGCTGCAATTGTTGCCTTCAATTGTTTAAGGGTTGTTCTCGTACACTTTATACTTAAGGTATACCAACTGAAAAAATATGTGTGTTTGTGCCAGGGGCGGGGGGGGGGGGGGGGGCAGGGGGCAAGTCTGGTGAATGCCTTGCCCACTCAGAATCACACTTCCTTCCTATCACCTTGTATAAAAATGCCCCCGAGTCGAACTCGTGTCTTATTCTAAAAGCACTATTCAAAGTTGACTTAAAGTGAAGATATAATGTCAAGACGTACGTTATGTAGAGGATATCAAATTTTATATCAACATTTTCAACGATCTGGTGCTGCCTATTTTCTTCACTTCCCCATTGACTCACATAAACCCACAACAATGAAATTCTTCAAGCAACCTATATTTCTTGTTAAAATCGCAAACAACATCTTACAAAGGATGTTTTTCATTTGAAAAACACATTTTATCCATTTCTGCATTAATCTGCCACTAGACAAAAAAAAAACACTCTATACTCAGATAGGTGTGCAGTTTTAATAATTTTACTCTCAAATCTTAGATGTTCCATTGACAGATTTCACAAAGCACTCCTCTTTCATATCGATCTTTTTGTACGTTACCACCAATTGATTGTTCTCACCTTTTTGTTGATTCAACATCAAAGACACGCACAGAGCTGCGGAAGCTCAGTTAAACGGGACCTACGAAACCACTCCTATTCAGTCTCCCTACATTACTTCAGCGGTAAAGGTGTGTGCTGTAGACCGGTTTGGGAAGTTGGATAGTGGTGAGGTTATTTTGCTTATCGAACAGTGTAGAGAACAAAAAGCAATAAGTGTTTGATTCTTTATTTCAATATCTTAGCACCAATTCTGTAATTCCAGAAGATGTCAGCATCTGTTGTCACCATATTTGTTGCTGTCTTCGTGATAGCCACTGTTATAGAGGAAGCTCAAGCTGTGTGTTGTAAAGAAGACAAGGCCGGGTGGTGTGCGGACTGTACTGAGGTAAGACACATTTTATGCTATATGCCAAGCACACAGTTGTTTCTGAGGGTAGGGAATACCTTTTGCGATCAGCGTGATTGGCCTCATCTTGCGTTATTTGAGCCCGATATTGTGCGTGAAACGTGATTCAGGAATTCTTGGTGATTGGTGAGAAGAGAGAGACCAAAATTTGTTTAAAAAACAAACAGAAGCTAAGCACTTTAAAATACTTACATATGTTCAAAGTAATCAGGTTCACATCTCAAAAGCGAATATTCTGTTTCAGACCACTCCATATTGTGGATATGGGAAGTGTAACATATTCGGCTGTGCTTGTGATGGAGGCTGCAGAAAGGACTGCAACCCCTGGTACAGCGATTGGCATCGTCCGCCGTATGTATCTCTTCGTTTCCATCCTATCTTTAAACTCCTGTTAATCTTGATAGGCCTTCCTAAAGTAAGATTATTTATTAACGACATAGGACTTCAAATTGCCAATTACTGTGAAACAGGTATCCTTATATGACCATGGTTCCCAGCAAACACAGAACGTATTAAGAGCGTTACCACAGTTAACTTTCTGCTAAAGTTTTGTGTTTGTGCTGGATTAGTTCATAAGGTATTGTTTTCAATGCGTACATTTTTTTTCAAATGATACTTATTCAAAGACACAGAAACATGCATAAAAATGGAACAGGACGAATCATTGCAGACATGCACCGTGGCTTGTATACATGTACAATGATCGAATGGACATAATATATCAATGATCCCGGGAAGAGGAATGGCTTTCAAATAGATTAATTTTAGTCATTTACTGGTATGTTCATTGACCACAGTAAAAACACAACAAACAAACAAACAAACAAACAAAAAATTATATATATATATATAATCCGAAGTTTGGGTATGACTGTTTTTTTTTTTTTTTCAGTTTCTGGCACGGCTATTACCGAACATGCGAATGCCTAAACAAGAGATCTGTGGAAGATGGGACCGGGGGAGGTATTGTCGCTAGAGATACATACCTTAATTGATGCACATCTACATGGGGTAAGGTTCTTATACCGTTCTTTTATTTGGAAAATGTGACTTAAAACATTGTAATCGCTGAGTTGCGCCAGTTTGCTGAACCAGTCACTTTTTTGGAGGCAGGTTTATCTTAAGCTGTCATTTAATTTGGTGAAACACGTACTTTGTGATGTTTAACTTGTATTTCTTTTCCAATGTTAGATTGCAGAGATGAAAGAAGCTCAGAAGATACATAGCGATATTCAGAGAAAATAAATTCATGCTGTCGAGTATAATAATAGCAATTGGTATTCAACTGGTATTCTTTGAATTCCTTTCATTTTTGATTTTCACTCAAATAAATACTCAGTTTTGATAAAATGTTACACCATCTGCCGTATTTTTCATTGATTTTGTAAGATGTTGTTAGCGACTTTAACAGGAAATACAGGTCTTTTAAAGGGTTTGATTGTTGTGCTTGTATGTGAGTCAATGGGGAAGTAAAATCGAAAAAAAACCAGAAATGAACAAAACATATTTGATCGATGAAAATATTGATGATTGATATCAATAATCAGTCAAAATCACCACTGAAAGTGTAAAGGATACCGGTTTAACATTACTCAGGTTCCTTGTAACAGAAAGTCAGCCCTCCATGTTGTTATAATGGTTAGGGTTAGCCTGATCTAAGTGGGTCAACATCTAGGGCGAGGCTCACCTGTACAAATGAATGGAGAGCGGACTCTCTATTATGGGGACTCTCTGTAACGTTACACCGTCACAGGCTATATCATATAGATTTTGCACTTGATATGGCAAGTGAACCGTTGTAGATCGCATCCGTAAAGTGTACCACCGGATGAAAAAGTGTACCGGTACACATTGTATCAGTTAAGAAACTTTTTTGCAAAGACAATATGCCGAGCGCAGTGAACGGGTAGTATGATGTACGTAAGCAAACATTTTTCTTGATTCTTAAATCAGATTTGATGGTTCAAAGCAAGCAAGTTAAATTGGCTAATTCATTCCCCAACCGAAATTTAATTGTTTGTTATCTCACACAATTAAGTGACACAACTATTCAAATAGGAATAAACCACTTTTTAGATACTTTTTAGATAATGTTTCGTAGATAGTGAGCCACTCAAGAGAAAGAGTGACAAACATTTAAATTTCATTTGTGCATTTGTTGCTTGTTTCAGATCATTATTATTCTTATTCCTTTAGCAGAGTTCAAAAAAATTAGTCACACTTTTGCTATTATTTTATGACTAATATTGTTTGAACTGTTTGGAAGAGCGTGATTTTCTAATCAACAACACCAGTGGGGGACAGTATAAAGGAATTGGGTCACCTTTAAACTGTATTATGTAATCGCTTCAGGGATGATTTATCTTTCAGTATCACTTTCGTTGTCATATATTGGTCCAATTTATCATCTAGTGTAGAGGAAAATTGTCATCCTAGTATCAGAGCTTGGATCAAACTTGAACCTGTGCAAACATATTTATCTGTATTCCAAAGTACCAATTCATTTAATTAGCCTCCAACTTCAATCACATCTTTATAGGAGACAATATCGCGTGGGCACAACTTAATGGCTATAATTATCATGAAAAGCTGATGGAGAACGCGCATTGTAAATGAAAAATATTTCATACTACACTATAAAATGAATAGCATAAAAGGAAGTGTATTCGCACAATCATATAAATGTGGTTTAATTTCGATTTAAGACCTTAATTTCATTTGCCGAATAACCGTTTGCATGTTCATATAATGTATCTAAGCAATAACAAAGTTTAATTTTTAAGTTTATAAAACATATGAGAGTCAGCTAATGCGTTTCTTAAAATGCCTCTGTGACTTAAATGTGTCATTACAATTATCGAAAATTGAGACGACAAATGTGTCTCAAAATGAACAGTGCGCCATGCTTGTAGCAACGGAAACCATGCCCTCCACACGTGGTCTGTTGTAATATACGACCCTACACACATCTATTACAAGTATTTCATTCTTATTAAATGATAATACCCAGACGGAAAACATCGATATCTATCGCACATCAATCAAGTTGATAATACTGCTTTCAATAAGCCACGGCTTTGTTACGTAATCCAGACGTCATGCACCGCTGTAGTGCATTAAGTCGTTTTACTTTGCTACATAGTATTTGCTGGATTCGGATCATTTTCAGATGAATATGCCAGGAAAACGAGGAACCCACTGAATAAAAACTCAAATAGCTGCTTTTATTTAAATAAAATTGGCAGCACAATTTTCTAAGAAACCCCTATTTCCAATGTTTCGATACCCCCTTCCCATATTTCATTCACTAGCTTATTGTTCAGTAGTGACGTGTGATAAGCGTTTTAATTCCCAATTCACCAGGGCAGTCGTACCCTCAATAAGATGAGTGCATCTGAACGCATCACCTCGGTATCTATTAAACAACAATCAATTTTGTAAAGCAGATAAATCACATGCTCTTCTGTTTACTTTTTGTGCTTAAAGACGTCCCCTAGTGTTTGATTATACTTGATGCATGATTTAAAACAAGATTAAATGCCAGCGACACAGACTGCCATATCCAACAGACACAAGGAGGCACCGGGTGACATCAACAGTTTCAACATACCGATACAAGGGAAATGAGAGGATTGTTCTTCATTGCCTTGCATCTGGCGTCATTTATGCTGATTTATCAAAAATGTGAGAGGATCGAATATTTAATTAAGATTCCCGATTTGCATAAATAGTTGTATTTCAAGCCGATTCAATGTAAAAGTAAGATAAGTGTTTTATGATGTATGAGTATTATTATTCTTTTTGATATAAAAAGCCGCATTTAAGAGGGATTATTTTCCCCATTCGCTCGGGTCATTTTAGATGCCCATTATGAATAATAAATACAATTTACATATAAGTAAGATATTCAAAGCTCAAATTCAGCAGAATGACCACAATTTATATTTATTTCAGATGCAGGTGGAACAACGAGTAGCACTCACACAACTGACGGTAACATATCAATTTACTTTAATTATAAAAGTATATTCCCAAACTAAACCTGTGGATCAATTCTGTCATATCTTTATTAGACAAACCCAATTATGATTACAAAAAACCATGATTACAAAGGAATGAACGAATAAAAACCCAGCTAACCGTTTATGACTTTCACAATATTGGGAGAAACTGATCGCCAAGTGCAACAATAACAGAATACGATAAATTCTGGAAAAATATACTTTATTCCGAGCGGAACGGTAATCCTAGGATTGGAAGTCCGGGTGTAACGTGACAGAGAGTCCCCCATGATAGAGATTCCGATTCCCATTCATTTGTACATGGAAGCCTCGCCCTAGATTTTGACCCACTTAGGTCAGGCTAACCCTAAACATTATAACTATATGGAGGGCGGACTTTCTATTATACGGACCCTCAGTTACATTTCATGGGCCCCATATGTTTAATACATGTAAGGGTGCTTTCCCAGAGATTTAGATCGATCTAACTCCCTGGGGGTTCAAGCTAAATTGCAGTCAGCCGAGCGGGCACCATAGTTAATTACCCCCTTACAGCTTTTAGTAGGCGGGACAGACGCTTAAGCCGGCCAAGCTGACAGTAATATAGTGAGACTCCCCACAGGGATAGATCGATCTAAAAATCTATGGAAATGGGGTGTAAGAGTTAGTCGGAGTGTTGGGGATAGTAATGTATGTGGGACGAATGTCACCTGTAGAAGGTAAAGAGGAACGTTGGCCTACGATTCCTAGCGGAGCACCATTCCTGTCACACAGGCCTTCCCTGCTTCATTTTTTTTTTATTTCTAATATAAAGAAAATATTGTACTTTAATGAAAGAAATAAAACACACATTGGTTACTCCGTGTAATGTTTTTTCAGCTTGTAAAAACAAGGACATAGCATTCCTGTTAGATGTCACTGGCTCACCAGATGATGCACCAAAGATCCAACGGTTCTTGGCGTATTTGGTCAACGATTCATTCGTAATTGGACCTAGTGACGTCAATATCGCTATTATTTCTTTCATACCGGAAATAAATGGCCATGTGACACTGGACAAAGGGGACTTATATCCCTACGTATCGGCAGCAATCCTCACTGTGAACGTACACAATGGGACATCTTTCGAAAGCCAAACGTATAACGCGTTGGACTTGGCCAAGACCGTTTTTCTTAGTCGTCAGCATGTTCAAGGAGGAAGGCTAGACGCAAGTAAAATCGCCGTCGTCCTAACTACGGGACTGAAAGAAACATTCTGCACTGCTGTACAAAAGGCGCTGGCTGCAAAACAACAGGGCATTGAAGTGTATGCGATAGGGGTCGGCAACAAGACAAGCCAACTTCTAGAACTGAAAGCGATTGTTAGCCCACCTGCGCATACCCATGCTTTCTATGTAGAATCGTTTGATGAGCTGGGCGAGCTGGCAGAGGACTTCTCTAAAGCACTTTGTTCAGGTTGGTCTTTTTACCGAATTTTTTTATGTTTGACATAAGCCCATCAGTGGAGTGTTGTTACTGTAAACATTAACCAATTCTTAAAAACATTTTGATGGTGCTTATGCATGCTTCACTGCACCCTATACATGTAGAACTATAGGTTCTCTTTGTGTATTTGAACCAACTAGATTACAAGGTACATATCCTGCCATTTTAAGAAAAAAACCATGCTTCATATAGAAATAAGTTTTAATTCAACATTTCCAACTGCAGTGTATTAGACCATTGTTTAGTTTACAATGCTTCTTTTGGAGCAAAATGCTTCCAGTAATCTATTTTCGGTTATAAAAAAAATGATTTGAGTTTTTATTAAACGTTTGCTTTTAAATCTTGTATTTTCAATTTTTAATTCCATGATAAATTACAATTTTTGGTGTATTTCAATAATTCAAAAGGTGCGGCTTTATTTCACTATTTAAATACCATGTAGGTCCCAACTTTTCACTATGAGCATGCTGATCTTTCCAGTTACAAACAACATGACGTCACCAGAAGACGACGGCTGGTACAGGCATTACCAGACAACTTGCCTGAATGTCACCAGCTTTCAGCAGACGACGACCTCATCGCCGCAATCTGGTGTGACTGGTGAGAACGACACAGTCCCACCTACTGCAATTTTTCCCTCCGCTACCGGGACTTCACTAGATAATTTCACCTCATCACCGATTTCTGTTGTGACTGGTGAGAACGACCCAATCTCACCTACAGCATCCCATCCATCTGCTACCGGGTCTCCACAAGGCACTGCAAAGTATAAAGATAATTTCACCTCATCCCCGCAATCTGTTGTGACTGGTGAGAACGACACAGTCTCACCTACTGCATCCTATCCTTCCGCTACCGGGCCTGTACCGGGCACTGCAAACAATGCAGATCATATTAAATCGGCATCTGGTATTGATTCTAATAAACCAAGCCAAGACTTTGATGTTATAATGTGGGTTACTGTCTCACTTACTGCATTATTTTGCCTTGCTGCCATAATTGGTTTCTTGTGTTGTATGAAGAAAAAATCAAGACGGGTGCGAGCAGAAGATGTTCAAGTTGATAAGTCAGCAGAAAAAGAAAACGGGTGGTAGAATAGGCGTAACGTTTTGATTATATAGGACTGATTATCATGTAGGTTCAATTTTTACTACATCTTAACGGCCATCTATTAACAAAATTGACTTATATGCACGTATATACGTAAGCTACCATATACCACACACGTTTTGCATTGATATCAACTATAGATAGAACATTTGGTCCATTCTCTTTCACAACAGCGACGCAGTTAAGGTAAGGTGTAACGCAATGCAGAGGAGAACCAACCCCCTAATAATCTGGGCCGACTCCGCCATTCTCTTTAGGAAGAGAGGGATAATATTCAACAAAACAGAATATTTACCCTGGCTGATGGCCCGTCACGCCACAGATAATTGCAGTGCGTGGAAGACACAATCGCTATTAGACATGTGACCTTCAACGACCACATCCTAATGCTAATTGTGTGTAAATTTGGTGACATTTGGTGGCGTCTTTTAAATTTAATGAATATTCCCTTGCCTTTGTGGGAATCACCGTGAAACATAGGAATTGATGGGGTACACTGGTATGTACATGTTATAAAACTGAATAAATGACATAAAATACGGATATTGTCACCACTATTTTGTATTTTCTGAACCATTTATCATGTTATATATGGTATCCTGAATAAAAAGCACTGTTTGTGACAATTAACACCTGTGAGGTGATCATTTCTAGATGAACGCACATGGAATTGGGTGGAATAGCCTTAGACCAATCTTGTATGATCATCCACATACTATTAGAAGTACTTCACTCGCGTTAAATGATAATACATAGACGGAAAACATTGGTATTTGTCGCACATCAATCAAGCTAATAACAGCGTTCAATAAGCCGATTGACTTACTATCTTAAGAATTAAAAAATTGGTGATAATTTCGCATGTAAATATTGGATAATATTGCATATACTTGACAAAAAAAACTATTTTGTGTACTGTCAACATTAACGTTAAAAATGAATTACAGTGAAGCTTATTATCCCCAAACTCACTGGGGTGATTCCCAGTATGTTAATACAGTTAAGTGATGTAGAGCTTTATGAACGATTCAGAATGGATCTCAGCGTGATACTAGACAGGCTAATCAGCAACTTGTTGATTATTTCTTTCCGTTATACGTTAACATAAATGTGTACGTGATGTGGGAAATGTGGGTTATTATCTGTTTGTTTCTTCCACAAAGTTTTTGCTTCTGTGTCCTTAAACACCGGACACAGAAGACACAGACTTGTTTTACGGGGATGTTTTAGTTTTTTTGTCTCCGAGTCATCGTTAAAAATATTAACAGATCTTAATGGAAAATAAATTTTGTCTAATTCTGACTTTGCCTCGAGACAACATCGATTTTAAGATAGACATGCGGTTTTTACAACAGTACTCCAAAATGATAGAAGTCAAATTCTCAGATCTTTGTCACAAAGACACTCGCATTTGATGTGGATCGTTTTGAAGATGTAATAAGCTGAATCACTTGTTGATACTGTATCAAGGACACGCGTACACATAGAGGTGTTGTAGCTCACTTATACAGAACCTGCACTACTGCCGCTACTCAGTCTTGCTACAACGGTGCAGGAACTAAGGTGTGTGTAGTAGACTTCGACAGTAGACTGGTTTGAAGCGTTCATTATCGGTGAGTTTTAATTCTTACTCGAATATCTCAAAAAGTAATAATATAAAAAGATAATAATAGCGTTAAATTATGTATTTTGATACCCTAGTAGTTATCTTGTATTTTCAGAAGATAAGTAGGCTTGTTAAGGACCAAATATTGACCAAACGCTTCTTTTTGTAGTACAAATGTCTAACTTGGCATGAATGTTCCTTGGGCCAAAACATTTTTTTATCCAAAGAGACACGCTATATCGATGCATATATTAGCATAAATTATGCAAATTAGTTACCAAAATATACAATTTTTCCTATTTCCATCAAACTTTGGCCTAAAACACGTATAGATCACCAAACTTCAATAAATTAGGGACAAGGAACCCATTTTTGATATTATGGAAGCAATTGGCGGTCATTTTGTGCCATTTTGTCTACAAAAAAAAAAAACAGTTTAAGGTATAATAAAGGAGTGGAAAAAGGTAAATATATGTATGTGACATCCTTTCTGTCTTTTCGAAGTTGGCGTTTTATTTGGACAATATACTATTTTTATGTTAAAGTTTTTGCAACGGTGTTTTGACTCTTTGTAGTATCAAATTGACACTGAATGAAAACAGCTCTGATTTCAGTAAAAACAAAACAAAGAAATGTTAGAGACCCAATTTCATCTTTTCTTTTTGTTTATTTTTATATGGGAGCGTAGGACAGGGTGACACAAAAAAAAAACATAAAAATTAATTGAATCCTACGAGGATCCATCAAATTTCAAGATATTGTTGGCCTTTAACGCCAACATGTGCATGATCATTCCCTAAAATGTCAGTTATCTTTGTAGTCCTGCATAAAAGTTGTTTTTTTTTT